CGAACTGCCGTCTCTCGCTCCTCACTGCAAATCTCTTACTAGCAGTTGTTTCCTTCTTCAGAAAGGTGATAAAATCTAAGAATCCTGAGTACTTTGTCAAATAATCTAGAGAGAATTCGATATACATCTCGTCAGGCTGGACTGAGTAAAAAAAATGACCCGGTCCAGTCAGAGGAGGCGTGGTCAAATACCAATACTCGGTCTCTAGGCTAAAGGACAAAAGTTAACCCATGATTGGATTCCCAGAGCAGCACACAGGAGAAATTGTGCTATACTGTACACACAGTCCATGAGCACATGATCTACTGATTCCACTGTTCTTCTACAGTATTTTCTATATAGCACTAGAATAAGTTGTTAATTATTTGCTAATATTCTGTTCTACATATGTCATTAAATTATAGCTATGGTATGTTGGTTTAAGCAAATCATTTATTTTGTCCATATTGTAATACCTTAAGTTCAAAGACACATTTATTTGATGTTCCATATCTTTACTCTCTCTTTTATGCTTACTTTAACATGATCAAATCCTAAAACTAAGGGTAATTTTGGTGAAAAGTTATATGGGTAGTGTTTAACTTTTAAATGAAAGTCATATGATAAATTGAGAACAATCAGCCAATACTAGGGCTAAGAATCAATTTAATTTAAATCAAAGACTAAACATGGTAACTAAATCTTTACTGAAACTTTAAACAATCTAATCTCAAATCTTAAAATGCTACAGAATCAAATCTAAGAAAGGGAGAGAATACAAACTAAATTTAGTTTCACAGAATAATTGTGCGCAGCCGTTAGATTAAGAGAAGGCTGCAGAAATATCCTGGGCTTCTATACTTTAAAAGAAACTCAGAATTGTGGCAATAGTTCACTGGACATTTTGGGCTAAGTTTGATGTGTTCTGCTTGGGCTGCAGAATGATGAAACATAGTTTGATACAATATAGAAAAGTAAGGTTAACCATAAACCAGGTACAGACATCTCTAATTTCATTTCATGCAATAGTAGTGCATATTTCTCAGGGTTACTGATGCTTCTACATCATGCCTTATAGCACAAGGAATTTTGCCATCTAAAAACAACCATAGTAAATTTGAGAGTGCCAAAAGATTTTTGATAAAACTGATTTTTAGCACCCTCCATCCTACTCCTATCAATTGTTTCTTAGTCTAAGAGCATATAAATATGTAGTACGGACCTTGAACAACTTTCCCTCCATCAGCCAGTGACGTGCAGTGAGGTTTATGGCTGGTGAGGCAGTCTTCTCCCCCGACATCCCACTGTCTAAAGCGCTTTCTTTCTTTTGCCCGCCTGAGCTCTGATAGGCAGGCAAAAGAAAGCGCTTTAGACAGTGGAGTGTTGGGGGAGAGGAGAGAATGGCATTCTCTCCTCTCCCCCGACACTCCACTGTCTAAAGCGCTTTCTTTCTTTTGCCCGCCTGAGCTGCCCGCTTCTGGGCAAAAGAAAGCAAGTGCCAGCTCGCCAGCTTGCTTTCTTTTGCCCGCCTCTATGTCCGCTGCGGACAGAGGTGGGCAAAAGAAAGCCAGCGGTGGGCTACCGCTTTCTTTCTTTTGCCCAGAGGCAGGCAGCTCAGGCAGGCTGCCGCCTCTGGGCAAAAGAAAGCACCAGCCCGCCAGAGCTGCCCACCTCTGGGCAAAAGAAAGAAAGCGGCAGCCTGCCAGCAGAGGCGGGCAAAAGACCCGCCTCTGATGGTGGGCTGCGCCGGACACAGAGAAAGAAAGCTGGCGGGTTGCCCTCCCTGCCTCTCCTACCCCCTTCCCTCTCTTCCCTCTCAAACAAACTCTCTCTCAAATTGAGAGAGAGTTTGTTTGAGTGAAGAAACAAACACACGCACGCACGCACGCACACACACACACACACACACAAATTTGCACCAGTTACGCCCTCTACAGGAGGAGGCAAGAGAACCACGTGCCTCATCTACATAAGGAATTTTTCGGCTTTTAACCCTTGCTTAACTCTGCTCGAGTGATATAAAGTCAGACTAAATGAGGCACATGGTTCTCCTGACTCCTCCTGTAGAGGACACTTTTTTAGAGGCTTTTTTAAATAGTTAAGCACTAAACAGAGTCATCCATGGTGATTCTGGCAGCAACTAGCTCAGCCTTTTTCCTTTTATTTTTCTTTTCTTTTCACGATGGCAGGCTCTGTCTCCCCTGACTGCACGTCACTGCCATCAGCCAACAGATTTAGTCATCCTGTGGGCAAATAATAAAAGCAGGCCAATTTCTGGCAATCAGTCCTTTTACAGTTCAAAAAATAGTTAAGAAGAGTGGGAAAAAGCAGTGTTCAAGTGAAGGTTCATGAATAGAATTTATTTTCTTAGAAGAACTATAGTAGAGTCATTTGATTTTTCATATCTGAGAAGGATATAAACAGTCAGGTTGTAATATACATTGATCAAAAATACAGACAATTTTATGCATTATCTTTCCAAATTGGATGAATAAATAATGCAGTGACATTTCAAGTAACACATGTGTAAAATGATATAGGGACAGAAGAAAATAATTCATTTATATGTATAAATATATAAGATTCTCAAATGCAACCAAGAAAATGATAACTGGTCAATTTACTTTGCAATGCACTTCAATGTAAACTTTTGGAATCATAATAAATGATGACAATGCCCTTGAGTTGACTTCAATTTATGATGGCTTGCTCATCTACTAATATTTTGACAAAAATGTGGAAGCTGTTTGTCACAGCCATCTTCTGGAAAGTCAAGTCCACATCCCTGGGATTTTGGAGTAATCTTGTTTTCAGATAACTGAATCTTGTTTTCAGATAACTGAGGTAGATTAGATGCTGTCATCTGCCTTCGTATAAAACCCAATGGCATGGTCATATTTCAATTTTTGTGCAGAATTCTAGTATTCCCATCTCAAAATAAGAAATGAGATAAAATAAAATAAAACAAATAAAACAAAACAAAACAGTGGGAAAATAAATAACATCAAAATAACCACCAAAATAGTGAAGGGCTATTTTTTACTATGCAAAAGCTAAAGAATTGAAAATATTTTAATTCACAAAATAGATGAAATGAAAACAAACATCACAAAGTAAAGTATTCCCTAAAGATGGCTGTATAAGCATCTAAATTTATAGTGTCGATTTAAAGGGACTGTTGCTAACTCTCTCTTCACCTGCATTGATATACTGAATTCTTTTGTTCTTTTGCCATATTCCTCCCATTCAAAAGTGAGGCTGATGATGGACTATCTTCCTTAGGTATAACACTGGAATATATGAATCCTATTGCTTTTAAAGATTTTATGATTCTGATGCAAAATAATTTCTATTCCATTTTAACATAATATACCATCCTGAGACTCTTTGGACTGAAGTTTTCCTTATTAAATTTCTACAACTGAGAACAACATAGGCAAAGAACATTTATGAAACAGTATACCCAGATGACACACCGGTTAATGGAAAATGGATTGTTTATATAAAAAATGTAATAAAAAATAGGAAAGAGAAATCTCAGGGCTGAAAGTCCTTATTCAGTATTCAGAGTTTCAAATATACAATTTTATTCACAATTTAATCTCATCTTAGTTTGATTCCCAATACCGTAAGTATATAATATTATAACAATCCCATTGTAATTTATTTAAATCTATTAGTTATATTGACATTAAAGCATTTTCCATACTTTAGATAACTTCTTTTAACTATTAATTCTTATGTATATTCTCTAACCACCAGTAAAAAGATTCCCAAATTATATAATAATCAGTTTGTTCTTTCTCTTTGATAGCCAATTGCACTTTGGGGAATTATCTAAAATCTTTCATCCTCTTTCTTCAATAGAGAGATATAATTCCTCATTTTTCAATATGTCACTTGAAAATGAATCTAGGGAAGATTATTACAGAAAAAAAAATCTAAGGAGGCTTCAACAGAAATAAATGACAATATGTTCCATGAGGTTCCTCTCTTATAAGATGGCAATCTCAACAACTTTATTTTAGTGAAAGACTTGTACACAACATGACACCTATGGATCTCATTTCAATGTACATAATTTTAATTATTTCCTTTATAAGAAAAATAACAAAAAAGATGATTAGCTATTTGATTTATAATTTCAGGTTTCTACAGAACAGCACAAAACTATTGGTCAAAAGTATTGTAAATTTGTATGCATAATTCCATGAGAGTAGGTTTCTTCCAAACCTCCTTCAATTCATGAAACAAAATAAACAGATGATAACACTGGCTCAATTTGTTTGGATCTCATATCAAAAAATATCTCTTTTATTCCTACCTGCTACCCCAGGCAACTTGATCACACTGCACAAAATAACATCATTTTCTATTGGGTAGGAGCCAATAAACAACAACATTCATTGCTAATCAAAATTGACGAACAGATGCTAAAAGATGCCTGATCCACTTACATTCTAAGCCAGGTAATCACAGATTTCTTTCAGGTGCTATTAAAAATACCATATATTAATAGTAGGTAACAATTTTTCTTTGAAAGAGAAGTGGCACTGATTAATATTGAAATGTACAACAGCTTTAATTGCTAAATCATTTAATTGTAGTTCAGAAATGATGGATGGCAAGTCCTCTAGATATGTACAAAAATATACTGCCCAAATTATTTCTGTATGTCACTAATTTGTATGTCACTATTTAATAGAACAACAGGAACAGTAAAAAATGAAATTGTAGAAAGTTATCAGCAATGAATATCCACATTTTATATCCACATTTGCCCTATATCAAACTTTCCAAACAAGTTCCCACCTCTAAATTAATTAAGTGTCTGGAGTGCATCACATTAGGAAAAACTTTGCTAATATTTTTATTTTATGAAATCCAATTGCTATTTATAAAATATATTTTCTACTGTAGTTTGGCACTCTTATATTCTTTTTTGGACAAAGACAATGAAATCATGCTAAGTGATTCTTTTAAAAAAGGAACAAAATAATCAAGAGACATGAAGTACTCACTGTTTCATCAGTGCAGATGGAATGTACCTGCGTTCCAAACATTACAGATGTGAAAATGAGAAAAAGGAGAGCCTCAAAGCACAAGAGGATCAGAAGGATCACAGTAGTTGGTGGAGAGAAAGAACTGCACTCTGAAAATGTAATATGAAAGAGCATTTCATATTCTAGGAACTGAACCAATGATAATGCTGCCTTTGTACACTACTTAGAGTTGCTTATATTGAGTAGTTTCTAAGTTTATTCAATTATAAATGAGATTTAATTATTCAGAATTATTTATAAACCATCAAATTCCAACATCTGTAAATTAAGAGTTATAGAATTCTGAAAGCCAGCAATCATACATACAAACTTTAAAATGTAGCAGGAATAAATACAGGTACTCCTCAATATACGACAGTTCACTTAGTGACCATTCAATGTTACAACGGCACTGAAAAAAGTGATTTAACTGTTCTTCACACGACCATTGCAAGGTTATGTGATTAAAATTTGGAAGCTTGGCAATTGGTTCCTATTTCTCATTGTTGCATTGTCCCTTGGTCATGTGATTACCATTTGCAATCTTCTGATAAACAAAGTCAATGGGGAAACCCAATTAAATTAACAACCACTTACCGGCTTAATAATTGCAGAAATTCACAACCGTGGCAATAAAGGCCTTAAAATGGGGCAAATTGTCTCACTTAGCAACAGAAATTTTGGGCTCAATTGTAGTCATCAGTTGAAGAAGTCTTGTAATTATAAGTTATGCTGTAACTGCAAGCAGGTTCCTTTTCACGGCTTCCAAATCTAAGTCTAATCTGTTCTTGATTTTTTATGCATTTTTTCTTATAAAAATAATTATCATGTTTTCCCAAAAATAAGACAGGGTCTTATTTTCTTTTGACCCCAGAAATATGGCTGTGGCCTTATTATCGGGGGAGGGGGGCAGGGAATGGGCCAAGCACGAGACTCCTCTTCAGTTTCCAAAAAATGGCGCTGCCAAGCAAGCGAACAAAATTGGCTATAACGGCTTGGGCTCATCAAAAGAGAGAGAGAGAGAGAGAGAGAGGGAGAGGGAGAGGGAGGGAGGGAGAGAGAGAGACAGACCGACAGACAACGACAGGAGAGGAAGGGAAGGGAAAGTGGGGGGGCACAGTTTAATGGGATGTTTGATATTCTGCAAGGCACATTTCTTGCCCTGGGACTTTTCCCCCCTCCTCCCCTCTTCCTTTTCTTTTCTTTACAAAAGCAGAGCCACACCAGCTGAACAGGGCAGAGATGAGGTGGGCAGTGTACTTGGGAGGCAGAGGGAGACTGCTGAAGAAAAAGAGGGAAGGAGGGAGGGCTTTGACTTTCTTAGCACCTCTCCCCTCCTCCAAGCTTATGAGGCTCCGAACTCCTCTAAAAGCAGCCTCACTGCTGCTGGATGACAATTGTGGCGAAAGCTGTCAGTCAGTGCAGAACACCCTACATCCACCAAAGTTGGCTCCCAAAAGCAAGGAAAGCTGAAAAGCCTCGCTGCTGCCCAATAAGAACTGCAGCAATAACAACCTTCTCCTCTCACCCTCCCCACCCCGTAGTACTCCTACCTTTTGGATTTGGAGAACTTTCAAAAAGCCTCCTGTCTCTTGTCGCGCATGCGTTAAGTAATTTGTGGGGGGGGGGTATTTTAGGAGGAGGTTTATTTTAACCTATGTACTGAAAAGCCCAATTGGGCTTATTATCAGGACATGTCGTATTTTGGGGGAAACACAGTATTAGGTGTTATCCTTTCCAATATAATTTAATGTCATCAAATAAAAAATGAAGCTCTTAATCACAACTTATTTCACATTGACATGAAATTAAGTTTTAGAATGAAATGGCAGATGCTGGAAGTAAAATAAGGCAGTTGGAAACAAGGAATAGAAATAGAAACTAAATAAAATCTTCCTTAATTTCTTTTTCTAAAGAGATATGCGTTTTTTCCTCATGGGAAGGAGAGAAAAAGGAAGCTAAAGACAATGTTATAAAATTATGGACCATCATATTATTGGCAAATATGTAATCACCCATTCAAGTCTCTTTTGTGAGGGTTATACAAATGTATATTGATGTTTTACTTTCAAAATATTATATTACCAATACTCACTTGTCCAGTCTTCTTCCAAACAATATAGGAAGTGGAATCCAACCATGATTAGAGCATGCAGAGAAATTAGAGCTATATACATCTGAAATAGAATTTGGAATGTTAAGACAGATAGATTTGAACATTGAATAAGAATGTCCTGAGTGATGTAATTAGTCTATGCCATGACTCCTTCAGAGCTGCACTTTTCTTCCCTTTTAGAAGAGTCTTATATTGTGCTTTCAACTGCTTTTAAGTAGTGAGTATGATCCTCAAAAGGGGCATTTTTACTTTTCCTGTACTCCATATTATATATCCTTTTTAGTTGCATGCAATCTCTATCAAACCATTTTTTATTCTTTGAAACCGGCCTTTTGGAGTGAGCTAGTATTCTGTTAGTGAGAACCAATTTCAAATTTGAAATTAAAGTTTCAAATCTCTCTAAGACTTAAACGTACTCCTTAATAGAGATGTACGTAACTCTACGGTTTCTGGAACTAACATCCATTTAGTAACTTCCTTTGCATTTTTCTCATTCCATTTAATTTTTACCTGAATATTTTGGCTCTCTAACCTGGGTAGGTAGGCTGTGCCTGCCCTCAGGGATTTCTGGCGTAATGTAAGAGTAAGGATTATTGAATCACGATCACTTTCCAGTTGCGAGTCTACCTCCATCTTCTGTAAGAATTTCAGGAGGTCATATGATATTATCCAGTAATCAACTGTGGATTTTCTTCCTGCTCCCCCATAAGAATATTCTGCGGGGTAGTCGCCTCATGTGAACCCATTAAGGATACAAAGGTCCAAATGTTCAGTCATCTGTTTTACACACAAACCTGCCCGATTTGCTTTAGGGTCTTTAAATTGTCTGGAATGCAGAGGTTCTCCTGGTACATTCTTATCATAGTGGATCTTAAATTGATTAAATCAACTGATCATTTGGTCCCATCCTATGTGTAAAATATGTTCAAAATACAGCACAGAAATTTTTTATGAAACACGCAAAGAACAATGGAACCTTTGCCCTAAAAATCTTGAAACATGGTCCCTATATTTATTGGTAATGAAACAAGAGCAAGTTGGTATCTTTTGAACTATTTATGTTTGAAGCATAAGATATACATTGCATTCAGAGAGTATTCAGACCCCGTTCACTTTTGTTAATTTTGTTAGGTTGCACCCTGATTCTACAGTTGGTGAAATTCATTTTTTTCTCATTAATCTATATCCAGTATTACATAATGACAAAATGAAAACAAAATTTTAAAATTGCCTGTAAATTTATTAAAAGAAAAAACTGAAATATCACATTGGCATAAGTATTTAGACCATTCACTCATTACTTTGTTGAAGCATCTTTGGCTGCAATTACAACCTCAAGTCTTTTGGAGTATTATGTGATAAGCTTTGCACACCTGGATTGGGGGATTTTCTGCCATTCTTCTTTGCAAATCCTCCCAAACTCTCAATATTCTCAAATTCAGTCTGGCTGGACACTGACCATTGGTGGACAGCTATTTTCAGGTCCCTCCAGAGACATTCAATATGGTTGAACATTGAGACATTCAATAGGTAAAAGTGAGGGCTCTATCTAGGATATTCAGAGTTGCCCCTAAGCCACTCCTGTGTTGTCTTGGCTATGTGTTTAGGATTGTTGTCGTGTCAGAAAGTGAACCTTTGGCCCAATCTGAGGTCCTGAGCACAGTGGAACAGGTTTTCATTGAGGATATCCCTATACTTTGCCCCCTTCAGCTTTCCCTCAACCCTGAACAGTCTACCAGTCCCTGTTACTGAAAAACACCCATACATCAGCCTGATGCTGCCACCACGTTTCATTGTTGGGATAATCTTGGGCAGGTGATGAGTGGTGCCTACTTTCCTCCGGACATAATATTTAGAATTGAGGTCAACAGTTCAATCTTGTTTTTTTAGACCAGAGAATTTTGTTTCTCACAATCTGAGAGACCTTCAGCCCTTGCTTTTTTGCAAACTCGAATCAGACTCTCATATGTTTTGCACTGAGGAGAGGCTTCCATTTAGCCACTTTGCCACAAAGCCCAGATTGGTGGAATGCTGCAGTGATGGTTGTCCTAGAACTCTGTCTCATATTCATAAAGTCTCTCTGGAGCTCAGTCAGAGTGACCATTGGGTTCTTGGTCACTTCTCTTACTAAAGCGTTCTCTCGGTTGCTCAGTTTGATCAGGCAACCAGCCTGGATGAGTTCTAGTTGTGCCAAACTTATTCCATTTCACAATTATGGAGGTCACTGTGCTCTTACGAGTATAGCAGAAATTTTATCGTACCTTTCCCCAGATCTGTGCCTTGCAATAATCCCATTTCTGAGCTCTGCAGGGCAGTTCCTTTGACCTCATGGCTTTTGCTCTGCTATAGTATGCATTCTCAGCTGTGAGGCCTTCTATAGAGAGGTGTATAACTTTCTAAATCATGTCCAATTAATTTAATTTACCACAGGTTCACTCCAATCAAAGTGTAGAAACATGTCAGCAATGATCAAGAGAAATGTGAGGCACCAGAAATAAATTTCATGTGTTGTTGCAAAGGGTCTGAATGCCAATGCGATATTGCAGTTTTTTCTTTTTAATAAATTTACAGACAATTCTAAAATTCTGTTTTCACTTTGTCATTATGGGGCAAAGAAAAAATGAATTTCAGTAACTGTAGAATCAGGCTGCAACGTAACAAAAGTGAATGCGGTCTGAATACTCTGAATGCACTGTATGTACCGTGTTTGTACTGTGTTTTCCTAAAAATAAGGCCTAAATAGAAAATAAGCCCCAGCCTGATTTTTAGCATGCTCCTAATATAAGCCTTACCCCAAAAATAAGCTTCGGGAGCAGCACTGGAAGCAGCGAGACTGTGGAGGCTGCCCGTTTCCGGCCACAGCCACAGCCCACGCAGCACAGCACAGGTATGTTGATTACCTGTCCAAGCAGCAGACAAGGCAGAGGCAGGGGGAAGGCATGTAATCCAGATGTGCTGTCTGGACTGCAGAAAAGCCTAGAGTCAGTGGGCCACAGCAGTCAGTAGGTTGCAGGACTTTCCTTCGTGTGGCGGCACTGGTACCAGGTGGAGGTAGAAGTGCAGGAGGAACATAGATGATCCTGACACACTGCACAGCCGCAGAAAAGCAGAGAGATAGTGGGATGGAGTGGTCGACTGACCACAGGAAGCTCATCTTCACATCTTGGCTTGTCTGTGGCCTTCACAATGCAGAAGAATGACCTGCCTTCCTCCTGCACCTCTGCTGCTGGTGCCGCCACGCAAAGGTGAGCTTCCTGCAGCCGGCCACCTGCTCCAGCCCACCAACTCTCAGCTTTACCGCAGCCCGTGCAGTGCATCAAAATCACCTGCATTCCTCCTGTGCCTCTGCCTATATCATTTGCCAGAGCAGCCGCATGAAAGCAAGCCTCCCTCACTCGGCCAGCCACTCCAGCCCACCAATTCTCAGTTTTCCTGCATGGCATATCCCGATAGCATGCCTCCCCCTGCTGCTTGGATAAGTAATCAACTCACCTGAGCTGCGCAGGTACTGCAGCCCCTGACTGTGCTGACCAAGGGGCCGGTAGGCTGCAGTTGCTACTAGATAGTTAGTGGTGATGCTCTTGTGCACGCACTGGGGCAAAACGTTGGCTTTATTCAGATTCTATCTCTATCTCTCATTCTGATTCTCTTTCTCTCTCTGTCCCTCTCTTTCTCTTCTCTCTCTCTTTCATATTAATCAAACTACTTAGGTGAAGGAATATGATACAATATTAAGCAAATAAAATGGCTAGAATTATAGCTTGTGATTTAAAGTCCAGTAATGTACTTTGGAAAACCATATTTTGCTGGCCAATTATATTTTATAACTTGCTTCAAGCATTTTGCAGTTTCAACAAGTAGCTACGTTTCTCACAAGTATCTCCTTTTGATTAGTTTTGGAGGAAGTGTCAAAAAAATTGAGCAAGATCTACTTGAAGTTCCAGGGCTAATTTCAATAGTTACACAGATCACTCACTCAGTGAATTACTTACTGTAAACAGTACAAAGTATTTCTGGTTGTTCTCTCCTACACAGTTATTAACCCATGGGCAGTGGTGATCCATTTTCCGTATACATCTTTTGCAAACACTAAAAGGAAATAAAAACACCACAAAATATAATCCCATCTACATCGAGAAACTGGTCTATCGATATCAAACAGTGGAATAAATATTTTCACTGTCAAAACCTAAAATGTCTTTTCAGACACTTTTAGATTCACACTGTCATTCAAAGAAGAAGTAAATATTAGATTTGGAGCATTATGAATAGGTGGCAAACTTTGTTGCAAATATCTAATTGGTTTAGAGGCTCTAGTTTTTTATTTCAGTTTTAATTATTTCAGTTATTTTAGTTACTTTTCAGTCATTAAATGTAATTTAAAAGCTAGGAGCAGGGAAGGGGGAGAGTTTGAGTATTTTCAGCATTTTTTAAGTGCAATTCACAATATACTCTATACCAATTAGCAGACTGACTTTTTCACTGACTACATGCATTCAGCTTGGTGTACTGTGTGTACTGGTGCCGTGGAGCACATTTTAACCCTTTAGTCCACCTGATGGGACTGGTTTGTACATCATAGAACAATGGAAAAAGTCTTTCCTTGCAGGTGTCCATATGTTGTTGTGATTCTCCTGCTACAAGAAAACTTTGAAGGCTTGGATAGAATGCTAGGCCCACAGATGTCTTTAGAGGAAGGGGATAGATATATCTATATCCACATATCCAGAAAAATACTGCTGTCTGTCTATATGTGTGTGTGTGTGTGTGTGTGTGTGTGTGTGTGTGTGTGTGTGTGTGTACACATGAGCAAATGCATACCAGGGCTTTATTTTTCCAGACATGTGGATATACCAGTGGAAACAATTCTAAACTACCTCATAACTCAAAGTGAATAAATTAACATATTACAGATTAATAGGTGTACAAACCTGCTTTTTAAAGCAGAAAGTTTGAAGATGTTACAAAATTTAGTTCTGAATATATTGAGTTTTGCAACACAATTAAAACAAATCAAAATGCAGAAATGTGCTAAAATCATTTGAGTAATTCAAAGGCTAGATTAATGCTGATGCCACTATTTAAGTACAATAGTAACATAAATAGACCATGATGATGATAATGTATTTTAATTACCTGCAGTGATGTGCTCTGTCCGGTTTGATACTACAGCATTTTGGACACTTATAAACTACTTGTCCTGGCTTCAGCTGTAAGCTCTCTATGAACTCTTTTGTGGCATTACCTTTGGGCACTGCACCCTAAAAATGAAAAAAAAAGAGTGCCAGAACACTGGGTCACAATGTCAGAAAACTCAGGAGCCCCTATTGTAGACATAGATGATTTTAGGAAAGCTTAATGACAATGCATGTGTTACAAAGATATGGCCCTTTGAACCTGAAACTAAAATGTGCAATCAAATAGTTTATGAACACGTGGCTTAGTTATAGTAATTCCAGTCCCAATTGCTATTCTAATATGAGGACTACCTATGCATGCAAGGGATTCCATGCCTAAAATGCTGGCCAGAAATATATGTTAATGTAGATACACAGATATGAATTAGATCAGTTTTGTTCCAAATGTAGACCACAATACAGTTACTTTGGATCAAAGCATTTGGGGAGAGAAAAGTAAAAAAAAAATTGATTAAAGCTTTCCCTGACAATAATGGAAGAGGCTGAGGGAGTAAAGGGAAGGCTCTCAAGAGATTAGGATAGAGGTGGACATTCTGCAATGAAAGGAGTGAGATCATTGAGAAACTGATGCACAACTATGTGCAGCAGTTAATGGTGGCCCCACGTATCCCTAGGAGTAAGGGTGATATTCATCAGTTTCATCTCAAAGAAACAACAGTATCACTTTGGCATCCTGGTTTGCATAAAATTCAGAACAAAAATGTGGGAACTACAGCCAATCTAGAAAAGTTCAGAAGAACTTTTCAGCTTGGGTTTCTAAAGGCAAGGTACATTTCTTGGCCACATCTAAAATCAACCAAGCAAATTTCATGAACTAAAGACAACTTGCTACATTTTTAAAAAATGCAAAAGTTATGTGTATTTACAAAATACATTACCACCCGAAGAAAGCTATGCTCTATGAGGAAAGGGGAAATAGACATTTCAATACCATTCACTTCACATATGGCAGATATGACAAGAAAACAGTTTATATCAGGAGTGTCAAACTCAAGGGGTACTTAAATCAGGCCCATGGGGCTGGACTGGAAATATCAAAGGATTATGCCCATGCCTGCCAAAAGGGCCTGGGGGGGCACATGGGGCCTCCGCGCAGCTAGTTTTTGGCCAGCAGAGTGCTGCAGGAGGACTTGATTACAATTCTGTGTCCTCGAGTAAGTGCCTGATCTGGATAGAAAACAAGCACATCCTATGTTAATACTACAGTTTAATGCCAGATTTTACATACTGTAGGTCCATTTAATACCCCAGATCCACCCCTACAGACCTTAAATGCAAGCTATGTAACGCAAGAAGCCTCGTAAACAAAATGGGCATTGGATTACCTGAGACGCTCTTTCTCTGGATAGGTGGAGACAGCATCCATGCATAGTTTATATTCGTATACTAACCAATAGGACTGAGTCTGATATCTTTAAGACATGCCTTCTCCTGTAGCTCTACCCAGCTTTTTGACGAATACGAATATGATACCAGACTGACATGTAAAAACTAAATCATATGAGGCAATCTCTCCCACTGATACCAGACCGGACAAAAAAACAAACATCAGGGCAGGGCTGGATGCTGTCTCCACCTGTCCAGAGAAAGGGTGTCTCAGGTAAACCAACACCCATTCTCCAACATTGGTGGAGACAGCATTCATGCATGGGATATACCAAAGCTGTCCCCTCATTATGGGTGAGATGATGACGGGGCTGGATGAATCTGACTCTCTGCAACCTGTTGTAACACTAGCCTTCCAAAAGTCGCCTCGGTCGATGCATACTAGTCAATTTTGTAATGCCAAATAAAAGGAGAAGGTGGAGTCCATGTGGCACCTCTGCACACCTCCTCCACAGAGGACTGGGTGGCCCAGGCTGCTGAAGTCGCTGTGCTTCAAGTGGAATGGGCAGTGATCTGGCCAGAGAAACCTGCGATTGTAAGGTGTATGCTTTTGTGATACATGCCAGATCCAGCACCCCAGAATTGATGACGAGGCTTTCCATCCTAACGACTCTGGATGGAAAGTGGTAAACAACATCTCCGTAGGCCAAAAACATTCTGAGGATGCAGATGTGTAGGGCTCTACGCACATCAAGAGTATGCCACTTGCGTTCTCTGGGATGAGACGGGTGCGGGCAGAAATTGGGTAGAACTAGTTCTTAGGACTGATGAAAAATGGAGTTCACCTTTGGGATGAACGATGGGTTGAGCTCGGGACTACCCTATCCATGTGAAAAAATATACAAGTCTTGTCTAATAGACAGGGCAGCTGGCTCTGACACCCTCCTAGCTGAAGTGATAGCTATCAGGAAGACCACTTTGAATGACAGGTAATGAAGTGACGTCTGTCTCAGAGGCTCAAATGGAGGTTCCGTGAGCACTTGGAGCACTATGGAAAGATACCAGGTTGGAAAATGATGCACCACAGGTGGACAAAGCTTGGTGGCTCCCCTCAGAAACCTCCTAGTGAGGGGGTTGTGTGCCAACAACATGGGGCCCCCACAGCGTAGGACTCAAAAGAGGGCCGCTACCTGTGTCCTGAGTGTGTTAGGCGCCAACCCTGAATTCAGACACCCCTGTAGAAACTCCAATATCTGTGGCGTAAGAGCTTCAGATGGACTGATGTTCCTGAAGCTTTCCAGGTGGCGTTGTATAGGTGATTGGCGAAATCTTGCCTGGATGCATAGATGGTCCCAAAGACTGCTGGGGTCTGTATGAGAGAAGGATCCTTGTGTCAGAGACGAGGCTTGAGCGGGGAGATGCCACCGAGGAGCCACTGAGAGAGCCTTGAGATCTGCGAACCAGGGGCGGCACAGCCAAAAAGGTGCTAGGAGAATTAGTTCCCCCTGTTCCTCCAACATCTTCTGAATGACCTGCTGAATGAGGGGGAGGGGAGGGAAGGCATAAAGGAGACCTTTGGGCCAAGGACATTGGAGCGCGTCCACTCCCTTTGCCCCCAAGGTTGCGTACCTTGTGAAGAGGCGTGGAATCTTCCTGTTGCCTCTAGTGGAGAAGAGATCAACTGTGAGTGGGCTGAAGCGGCTGACCAGTGACCAGAACAGTTGAGGATAAAGTCCATTCCAACTGGTCCAGGTGAGTTCGGATGGGCCAATCAGCTGTTGTGTTGGCCTTGCCAGAGACGTGTTCGGCCCAGAGTGACAGAGATTATCTCTGCCCAGTGACCCAGGCCCATGGTTTCCTGCATCAGATCCTTGGAGCGTGTCCCCCCCCCCAATGGTGATTGACATGGGCCTTGACTGTGATATTGTCCATGAGGACCAGGACATGCCTCTTGACAACTGCGTCCTGCAGGTGAAGGAGGCCCACTCAATCGCTTGAAGCTCCAACCAATTGATGGTGTGGCGCTGCTCCGTCTGAGACCAAAGTCCCTGGGCCAGTTCTGATCCCACCCAGATAGGCTGGCGTCGGTGGTGATCGTGACCCGTGGGGGGGTCTCAGAATAATGATCTCTGTTTCAGGACTGGAGAATCCCACCATGCTAGGGACTTCAGAACTTCTGGGGGGATGCGAATTGACCTGGTTGAGCAACTGGTGTCATCTTTTTGGTGTGGCAGCAGGAGCCATTGGAGAGGCCGGCTGTGGAGTCTGGCCCATGGGATTATAGAAAAGCAAGACACCATCTTGCCCAGGAGCTGAGAGAGGACAATTAACTGGGCTCGATGGTGTGTCTTGACCTGCCGGACTAGACTCAGTAAACTGACCTGATGTTCCCCGGAAAGATAGACCCTGCCCTTTCCTGTGTCTATGACTGCTCCTAAATGGAGCAGCTGTGTTGTCGAGATCATATGGCTTTTCCCCAGGTTGATGGAGAAGCCATGTTCTCTCAGGGTGTGGAGCGTCACCTCCAAGTTCTGTGTAGCTTGGCCAGGGGACCTGGACAACAACAGGATGTCATCCAGGTAGCATAAGATTCTGATTGGGTGGGCTCGCAGATGGGCCACGAGCGCAGACAGAAATTTGGTAAATACCCTTGGAGCTGAGGAAAGGCCAAAGGGGAGTGCCTGATATTGAAAATGTCTCCCCCGATAGCAGAACTGCAACAACTGCCACATGTCTGGGTGAATTGGGACATGGAGGGAGGCCTCTGTGAGGTCCACCGAGGTCAGATAGTTGTCCCTCCAGACGCCCTAGCTGAACCTCTAAGCACGATCTATGAGATATCTTTCTGAACCAGCTTTGTGCCTGACCTATGGTCATTAGCCACGATCATACCTATCTTTAAAAAGGGAGATCCTAGCTTAGTAGAAAATTACAAACCAATCTCATTGTGTTGCATCACCTATAAAGGTTTAGGTTTAGGTTTAGGTTTATTGGGATTTATATGCTGCCCTTTTCCCTGAGGGGACTCAGGGCGGCTTACAACCACAGGGGAGGGGAAGTGCAAGGTCAAAACAAAACAATTTGTGAACAAAAGAAAAATAATAAAACACAACTTTCATTCAGCAATCAAACACTCGGGCGGGTGATTGAAAACCTATTCCCAGGCCTGCTGGGAGAGCCAGATCTTGAGGGCTGCGCGGAAGGTCTGGATCGTGGTGAGGGTGCGGATCTCCATGGGGAGCTCGTTCCATAGGGTCGGGGCAGCAGCAGAGAAGGCTCTCCTCCGTGTGGTCGCCAGTCGGCATTGACTGGCTGATGGAATTCGGAGGAGGCCTAGTCTGTGCGATCTAATTGGTCGATTTAGGGAGGTAATCGGCAGAAGGCGGTCTCTCAAGTACCCAGATCCACTACCATGGAGTGCTTTGAAGGTGGTCATTAGTATCCTGAAGCGCACCCGGAGACCAACAGGTAGCCAGTGCAGCTCGCGGAGGACAGGTGTAACGTGGGCGAACCGAGGTGCGCCCACTATCACTCGCGCGGCAGCATTTTGGACTAGCTGTAGTCGCCGGATGCACTTCAGGGGCAACCCCATGTAGAGCCCATTGCAGTATTCCAGTCTGGAGATCACAAGGGCTCGAGTGACTGTTGTGAGGGCCCCCCGATCTAGGTAGGGCCGCAACTGGCGGACCAGGCGAACCTGGGCAAATGCCCCCCTGGTCACAGCTGACAGCTGGTGG